TCAGTTGGTGCCTTTTCTTCCTTTTATATCATTTAGGAGACCAATCTGCATTATGCCTTAAGTAGAATCTCCATTTTTTTAACATGTATTTTTTTCCCTTTGTTGAACACCAGCTTCAATTGGTGTTTTCCTACTATTCACTGTGTGAATGTGTCTGTGTGGGAATGTGTTGCATAGCAGCAATCTAGAAAGAGGCAACTTGTTCAAGGATGTAGCATGTCATACAGAGCTTTAATCCAAGAAAGGTCACCAGTTTCAAAACCTTAGGAGTTTACTTGGATTTTCCAGCTCTTTTATGCCCAGCTATGAAATAAGTTGCCCTTTCTTAGGAAACGAGCATTGGTAGGGTGTGGATTTCACACTGGAAGCTTGTGAAAAAGAAAATAGTCACCAATAGGTGAGCAAAAGCCACTTAAATAAGGAAAGTAATTGCTTAGAGCTTTCCAGTTATTGGAATGTTATTGAAATATGTCATGTATTTGGAATGAAAATATCACAGACCTACAAGGACATGATAATTACAAACTTGGAAGACATTTGGGTAATAATGGTCCCTGTGTTCTGGTGTTTACTGCTGTGAATAATGTGTAAGAGCCTAATGGGAGCAAAATATATAAATAAATTATGAACTGCAACTGTGTATAGATTGCAATTTTAAATTCATTTCATGGCTGAAAAAGCTGGGGTTTGTTTTATAAAAATACATTTTCTATAATCTTTCAGTGTATCTTTGCATGAGTTTTAGAGATATCATATTTATCACAAGATTTTTGTTTTAAGGGATGTGTGTCCACCAGTAGCGGAAATAACAGACTGAGAGAATCCATGCAGATGGAGCTAAATTAGCTGTGGGATCCAACCAGGAGAAAAAATCACAGTCATGGTTTCACAAATTCACTGTTTATTATCTCTGCATACATCTTAAGGACTTGGTGCCTAAAGGGGCTTCAGGTCTGTGTAGTATGGGTTAGGAGGGAAAGGTGATCAGTCTGCAGAGTAGAAAGAAAGGGGAATTCTGAGGAACAGGACTCAAAAAGTAGAAAGTAATTGCATCAGCAGGGAACTGTGATCAGATGGTGTGTGGAGCAGAAGCCCATTTTCCTACACAGTGTGCAAGGGTGACATGATTCCAAGTTCCAAGTGTCTTGAAATTGGAGATCTTGGGTTCTCCCTGTTGGGTGCTTTCAGGTCAAGTTTACCTTTGTGTTCAACAGACAAAAAAACCCCTCAGTGTTTGGAAGGCTGACACTCTTTGCTCAAGGTTCACACACAGTGGTGTGTGCAGAAATGAGTGGGTAAGGAGGAGATCATGGCTAGCTTAAGACAAGTTGGTGTTTGTTAACACAACGTGTGTCTGTGTAAAACACAGTATAAGTCTTATGGAAAATGTAGTTAAACATTATTTAAGGACCTTTCTTAAAGTCAATAGGATAATCTGGACTTTATACTGAGCTTTAATTTGCTTGCATCCTGGCTTTTTTTCTGTCTAATTTGAACTGAAATTGAATTATGTAACAAAATAAGAACTCAGATTTTTCCTAGTGAAGATTTTTCACTCTTTTTTCCCTTGCTACATCAAGAAAAATATGGTATTTTAGATATATGTGTGCTGTACTTCAAGACAGGTGTAATGAGTTAAGCAGTTTGATATTTTCTGCTGTTCCTCCTCCTTTAGTTTTAGGCAACTTTGTAATGATATTTCTCATGCCAGAGACATTATTTAAATGCTCTGGTCTGCTTTCCTGAGCACGTGACATGTATGGCTCACAAGACCAGTTAAAGTGATCCTTTCCTATCTAATATTTTAAAAAATTGCAATAAAATACATTCAGATTTTTTTCTTTAGCAATAATCTTTGTTCATAATGTTTGCTGAGAGGTGCTAAAGCAGAAGAGAGATTGCAGGCTTTGTCCCAGCTTGAAACAATCAAACACAGCTTTAAATATGAAGTTTGCACAGGCTGAAGTTTTTTAGAGCATACTTAAAGATAGTGTGAATATCTTTACCTTTGAATACCTTTGTGAATATCTTTAAACATACTTAAAGATATACAAACATATCTCTTGTAGAAAAATTTTAACCCACTAATTATCCAAATCAATTGGGGTCACTTTATATACTATTTAAGAATCAGCTCAGAGATTAAATGTCCCTCTAGCCTTGTTTACAGGTGTAAACTTATAATTGTTGCCCTTCATGTTGTAGGAAATGATTAAAACTCACCTCATCTCAGAGCATTTGTAACAAACTCAGCACTAGAGAAAACCCTTAGTTTTGAAGTCCTTGAGTTAGCTGGAATCTCCAAAGCTTTACATTATTGATGCTTGTGTTGAATTTCAAATTGTGCTTTCAATTGTCATCAGTTTGCAAAAACTACTGCACAATAAGATTAACAAACAATTTCTAAAATATTAAATAATGCCTTGTTATTTTCTATTTTTACATTAGTAAAGATATTATTAGTGGTAAAAAAAAAATTATAAAAAAATGAAAGAGTAAATCTTCACTTTCTTAACAGAAATGCCAAAAAAACTGTGGAATATATAATTCCTAGAAATAATACAGTCTCTCAGAAGAAATGGTAATTTCTAAACTTGTGTTAAAGATTTCATTGTGCTCTTAGAAGTTTCTTGCCTCAGGAGTTCTTTTCTTTCCCTTACAGATTTCTCGGTAAGTACTTTAGCACAGCAGTTAAGCTGTAAATAAGATTGCCCAGATGAAGAAACTGTTTACACCCAAGTAGAGCTCAGAAAGTTGTTAAGAAATACAAGATGGATCACTCTTACTTCCCACCCTCTGGACTTTTATCTAATAAGCTGGGTGCAGAAAGAAACACTTAGCATTTCCTATTTTTTATTTTTTTTTTGTATATAGCTATTATCTGGGGCTGTTGACCTATGTAGCTTTGATAGGATGGCAGAAAAGGGTGCTGTGCAGAAAAACCTCTAATCTCTTCAATTTTGAACAGTGAATTGCCTATGCACATTGATAAGCCTTTTGTGTACTGGATGTACTTACATTTAAAGCAAGAATTTATCTCCTTTTCTATTAATGCTTTAGTGGTTTCACAGACACTAATGGGCAATAAATAAGCAAATACTTTTTCTGACTTTGATAACTACATTTTGGAGTTTGTGAGACAAATGAGAAGGACCAGTTTCAAAGTACTAGTGATGCAAATATCTTTATCTTTCTTATCTCTATGAAACAAATCTTCATGAAGGTGTTCTGTATGTGACTGGTGTTGCCATACTGATCTGGAAATGTGGCTAGTAACCAACTGTCTCTACAAAGTACCTGTAGAGTTAAACTCACTGCCTTGCTCATTATGAACCATGTGAAATTATGCTACATCCCCATCTCAGTTGTGTTATTGAAAATTTCATAACATTTTTGTAGCTTTAAGAATGCAGAGACAGCTGAGACTACTTCATGAGGTAATCTAAAATTACTATATCTCTGATTTCACTTATATGTTCTCTTCGGCCTGAGGACCTGGTTGAAGGAAAACATTTTTAAACCATGAACCAATTATAACCTGCAAGACCACAGTCTGTGAACCAGATACCTGCCAATGTGTGTCTAGGTCACTTTGTGTTACGGTTTTGCACTAAATCCTAAAAAAATTGCAGAATCAACACTGCCAAAAAACTGAGAAATTCCCCGAAGATTTCATTAATTTAGGAGACTTGACTCTACTGGGTCAAAGGGATGTAGAGGCCAAGGTCAAACTGTTGGAAATACTATAGATTTATCACTAGAGGTTAACCAGTATGACAAATGATCATAGCAGACTCTCTAGCTTCCAGCTGCAGAAGACAGCATAAAAATGTTCTGTTAGTGAAACCTGGAAATTATTATTCTTCAGATCCAGAACATTATAATTTGGGATTTGATCAAAATTTATCCTAAATGAATCTTTTCTGATATCCCAAAGGAGTGATCCAGCATGATTTTCTCTGTGTGCCAAACCTTTCTCTTGTTCCCTTTTGCCCCCAGTGGGGAGGAAAAAGATTGTTTCCTGTCTTCTTGAATATTGTGGTTAACAGGCTTGAAGAAAAGTTTGTACTTTATGCAGTCTTAGTGTAGCCTACCTAAAGAACTTTTAGGGAGAAGTGCAAATCAGTCTTTTTTTCCCCTAAAGCTATCTTGCTGTAAAACACCAGCCTTAATGGTTGGCTGCATGCTTTTCTGACTCTGTAAAAGTTACACCAATAGTTCTCACTAATGTTAGTAGAAACAGGGTGCATAGCTTGAGGACAGATTATAGTCTTTGTCTTGCAGGACATGAAAATAATTGAGACTTTGTTGTCAGGACCTGAAGTTTTTTTCAAGTGCTAATGTGTTTTGACAAGACACGTCAAAAGTACATCTCATACTGAAAGACACGCATCCTGGAATGTTACATGGGAACGTACAAAATACACAAGTCACCAAGCAATTCATATCACTTTTGTGATCTCCATCATAGCCCAAAAAACCTTTTGTTCAAGTGTGTTCAGCATTTTTCAGTTGATAAAAAAATGGTTGTCCTTGAGGATGACATTTGTCATCTGTGTTAAGTAATTATCACTAAAAGAGCTTAAATCACATCTTTTAAATAAAATAATTAATTTTTTTTTTCAAAAAAAATGCAAGTAATTTTTATGGACAGAAATAATACCCTTATTTTTTTCATTTAGAAAAATACCAATATTTGTACAGTTTAAAGATCAATGTGTGTGGATGTTGTTTTTTTAAATCAAGCCCCCTTTTAAATCAGTGAGTGATAAATGTTTTAGACATTTTGTTTACTACTCAAAAAGAATAATGCTTTCATTGGTTTAACTCTGTGTATGTGCATCTCTTACTACTATGCCTTTTTTTGTTTCTCTACTACATTATTCACCTGGTATTTATAATGCAGAAGAAAACCAATCAGCATTATTCTGAATTCCTGATGCTGTGCCCAGGAATTAAGAAATCACTGTCTCTGATTCTTTTCCTTCTTTGTCAAGCAGATATTATTTTAAATTTCCGAACAACATATGTCAGCAAGTCTGGCCAAGTGATATTTGAAGCAAGATCTATTTGTATCCACTATGTGACAACATGGTTTATCATTGACTTAATTGCTGCACTTCCTTTTGATCTTCTTTATGCTTTCAACGTCACTGTGGTAAGTAGTAAAGAAGACACCCATCTTCTTAATTGTTCTCTTTTTTCATGAGGAGTTTGTTGATGTGGGATTTTTTCCCCCAGATCTGGAGACTCAAACTGAATTCACTAAAATACCTAGGTGTCATTTACAGCTTTGTGGTGTATTTTCACCCGGGATGTACCAATTTTTAAATTCCATTATCTTTGCTTTGTAAATGGTTGCATCTAAGTTAGCTTCATGTCTAATTACTTTACTCAAATACAGTTTGCTATGACTTTTGCTCTCTTATGGTGCATAAATTCAGTCCTTAATTTGTCAAGACTCACATTTTTACTGTGGTAAAGTAAATCATTGTTATGGTCAACAGGTTTATTTAATCAGGAATCCTCTTTCTCTTTACTTGTGGGAATTTTCATGCAAAAAATTTACAGCATTACTACTAAATTTTTGTGTGTTCTAACATGTATTGCTTACAATTGTCACTTACTTTAACTTTGGTTTCAACTCATCTTTTTTTTCTTTTTTTAAGAAATGTTATGACAAAAGGCATAATCTGCTTTGCAAATGTTCTAAAATTAGGTGATGTCACAATCATGATTGATTACATTTGTGTTGGCTTACTTATTCTAAGACAAAGGTTTTTATTCTGCTAGCCCTATTGGATTTTGTAGAGTAAGAATCTACAAAACAAAATTGCAATAAACAAACAAGCAAACAATCCACCCCCCCCCCCAAAAAAAATGCAAACACCTCCTGTGCCTCTGAATCAAAAGGTTTAGTTTTTGAAAAAAATATCAGCAGATGTTTCTTAATTTTGTGGATTTTCTCATAAAAGACTAAGTATATCAGCTGTCCACTTTCTAATTCCCATAATTTTGATCTTTCATAAACAGATGCACTCAATCTCAATTTCATTACAAGTGAGTTACAGACAAGTACAGAGATGATAGGATAAACGTATACCAAAAAAAAAAAAAAAACAAACAAAAAAACCCCAACAAACATAGTTTGTTAACTAACTAGTTAGGAAGGGCCCCATATAAGGTGTCATGATTGATTTTATAATTTAGCTTCATTTCCTTCAAAGAATTCTCTTTTCGTGCCATTTTTTACATAAAGAACTATCAATCTAATGCTAGTGCAGATGCTTTTTTAGAACCTGATTGTTAGTTCTACATTGTTCACTGTTGCATTCTAAAAGCTGGGTAATCTATTTAAATACATTACTATCTCAGTTTATCCCTCACACTCAAACCAAACAGCCAGCATAATGTTGCTGATTTAATTTCTATTAATAATTTTCATTAAGTTAACCATGTTTAATTTTTCTGCCAAAGAAAAAAATTTAAAAACCTGAAAACAAACGTTTGTCCCCACTGGAAGGACTGATAAGATTTCCATACTTAATTCTGGAAAAGAAAGTACTATCCAATGATTATTTGTACAATTAAAATGTCACATTATTAAAAATGCTGCCATAATATGATTAATACACATCTCCTGACATACTTTTAAGCTTTTTCCCTGAATAAGACCTCTGTATGATTCCTTGATGGGAACACAGTGCCTTACTGTATCACATCTCCTGTTGTGACAAGACTTGGCAACTGTTAATATAAACCTCAAGATAACAATGACTTATCGACTGTCTCAAGAATGAGGGAGGTGTTAATCACGCAACACTGTTTTCAGACTTCATGATTTAATAAGCCATTTCCTCGTGTCTGTTCTCAGATTTTCATTTCATCGACTTTCAGATGTTGCCTCAACAGAATGGTGAGAAGGGGCATCAGGGAGCATCTCACTCCTTTGCTGCTCAGGCCCCCCCCGGCACAAAGGCCAAACCTTTAAGGATGTTGTAAATTCTGCAAGCCGTTGGTACAGAGCCATACATACCTGTGTCATATGTCATGTGTCATATGTCATATCCCAGCTGGGGACTGATGGAGCCAGAGTGCATGTAAATACTGTGGAGTTGTTTGCCGGTTTTGTATATATTTGGAAAGAAACAAAAGTTAAACTGTATGAGTTGGTTCTACTGCCTTTACACCCTACCTGGATTCTGCCCTAGCATTAAAATCAGGGACTCTTTGGAGATCAGAGACCACAGGCACATTCCTGCCTATCCTCAGTGTGTGCCGAGAGCCCAGATCCTTCCATCCTTGCGTTCACCTGACATAAAGGTTCCCTTAATTTGGGAAAATATGGTTTCAAATGTTGCCATAAAACCCAGGCCATTAAGCACTAGTTATAATGATTGAATTTCTCCTTTTTGAGTAGCTATCAATGGTTGTAGAGAAAGAGCATCATTTTTTGAGGAAAAGAAAATTACCAGGTGGCCAAACAATTATCAAAAATCTATCCCACAAGTAATTTCTTAAAATGTGTCCCGTTTCTTCATTAATTCATTTTTTTTGGAGATGGTTCTTCCAAGAAGAGAACTTCATCATTGGTTTGTAGCAACTTTATTTTTTGTCAGTACTGCTCAGGACTTTGCTATTTGTGTTTGTGTTAGTTTCAGATGAAATTCTGTCCCTGTCCTTTTGACAGAAAAAGGTTAACCCAGCTAGTCTAAAACGATTAACAAAATGGAAAATTTTGATGATTTTATATCTGTGGGCAAAGAAAAATCTATGCAAGCACAAGTATGAGTGCTGACTCCGTATTTTGTCTTCCTAAATTTGTGACATAGAAAAAGAAACTGCCTGACGGCATTTTAGATCTTCCAATGACATATTGGGCACAATACCAGAGGAGCATTTGGCATGACTAATGAGAAAATTCAGTGCAATAATACATGATTAATTACATCTGTGTTCAATTTTATGAAAAAATTATTTTGAAATGGGGTATTCCTTAGGCCTTAAAATGCAACCTGCTTCCACATTAAAAAGAATATTACGATATATGATTCATGTCTTTGTAGCTTAACAAAAATTGTCAGAATTGAGGGAAGAGTGATAACTGGTAGGGCACACATAGAATTATAGCAGTCATTTTGCAATTTCTTGTTTGTAGGAATCTTAAAAAAAGAATGAAATAATTTTAACAAAGCTGTCATTATTTAACTGTGATGTTTTACAGCACAGACCCCCCCCCCCCCCCCCCATGTAAAGATGAAGGCTCCAATGTGTAGGCCATAGTGCATATACTATTATTGTATAATCATTATACAAATGTTTAAATGTTACTGCTACACCTGGAAGAGTCAGTCATGAATAGGGACCTATTTATGTTATAAATGCAACAGAACCATGTTTGGTTCAAACAAGCTGATGAGACAAGAAAAGGAGACTTTGTGAGATGAATTACCACTGAAACAGAGGCAGTAGGTACAGTTTAACAGCAGTTAAAGAATAACTACAAATTAAAGCTATATGATTGTAATAATGTAAACATGGCAATTACTTCAACTTTCTGCCCTAGATTTGCAGATATTCTTGGGCTTAAGGCCACAGACATAACTAATTCTCTGGCACTGTAGAGGAGAATGACATAGAAATGAAATGCAAGAAACAACCTTGTAAATATTTGTGTGCTCAAATGTCAGACCTTATTTTAACAATGTGTTTTGAAAAATGCCATATTTTTTGTTGATTTTCTTTTTTTCCTTCCTATGTTCATGAAAAAATGTAAAGGTTCTTGAGAAAGAAAAACAACACATTAAATAATGGGCTGCAAATATTGCCCTTTGAAGAGGATCATGGGAGAATTACTTGTGCACTACCAAAACTGTAGTGACAAAAAAAAAAATAATGTTTGTAAATTTCTTATTTTCCTCTTTACAGGTTTCTCACATACTTAACTCCTGAGAGTGGAATATAATCAATGAGTTGTTAAATCTTTGAAAAAAATAAAAAACACCTGATGTTACAGAATATATCAGTCACCTCAGATGTAGCTGTTGGTGAATGAACACTAATAAAATTTAGATTTCAGACTATTAGCTTTGGTAACAGGAAGGCTGAGCATCAGAATATTCTGGATTAGCAAAAGCAAAAATGTATTGATTGAGCTGTGATTTTAGACTTGCTGTTGAGAGAGCTCTTTACTGTGCTCTGGGAGTGCTGCAGCAAGACACATCAAGTCTGATGTTACTTTTCCAGCTGATGTGGGTATCCTGTATCAAGCAGGCCTTAATCTTACTGTCTCATTAATGAAGGAAGAAAAAATAGCTTACTGTTAATAAAAATTATGGCTATTTAATCTTAGACAAATACATTAAATCTGTTTGGATCCTAATCTGTATATTGCTTGCTAACTCGGCCCAACAGCTGAAGCTCAAGCCAAGCATATTCTCTGTAAAACTGTGGGCTGTGCACAGTGTGCTGTGGATGTTGGTTGCAGGGTGCTCTGGAAGGGTTGGGGTCATCCAGAGACTGTTTACTTTATGCTGGAACTCCTCTAAAGCCAGGGCCATACACTTCATAAACTGATGTATACTTAGAGTGCTGAGCAGATTAGGTGCGGCTTTTGCCACATAAACTTGAAAGGCAATGATATTTTAGTTAAGGAATATAAGAAGCAGTGTTAAAAGTTTTAATGAAAGCTTTTTTTGGACTACTACTTAGTGCAGAGCAGTAAAATATGTCCAGGTCCCTGAACAGGGTTAAATCTCAAGAACAAATCTGAGCCTTCTCTAACATCTCTGCTATATTGTTCTGCAAAATATCTGCTATTTTTTATTGCCTCTTCTATGCTGAATTATAGGCTGGTTTCATCTCATACACAGTTAAATTAGGTCTACTGTTAGCTGAAGCTGAAAATCATTGTGTGCTTGGAGATACTTGTTTTGTGGTTTTGTACTCCAATCAAATGATCTTTGGTTCAGTTTGACAATTGTGTTTCTCTTCTAGAGCTGGGAAGAATCAATTTTTCACAAACACAAATTTTTAAGATAAATATGAAAGAAAACTGCATTAAAAAAAAGAGATAACATGAAAGATCTAATATTTCAAGTTTGTTTGGTTTATATCTGAAATAGTAATTGTGTATTTATACATCCAAATTGCACACTGTTCTTTTAAAGCATCTTCTTTGCTGTTCTCTGCCGTCTTAATATTTAGTCTAGTCAGTGATGCAGCTGAATGAAGAGTGGACAACATTTCACAGCTCTTTAGAATTTCCTTTCTTGAAACAAGAGAACTGTGTGATAGAAGTAAGTTTCTGCCAAGTTGTTTAGGTGCCGACAAGTGGTTTTCTCTCCCCGTTCTCCCAGGTTTCCCTTGTCCACCTTCTGAAGACCGTGCGGCTCCTGCGCCTGTTGCGCCTCCTGCAGAAGCTGGATCGCTACTCCCAGCACAGCACAATCGTTCTCACCCTTCTCATGTCCATGTTTGCCTTGCTTGCTCACTGGATGGCCTGCATCTGGTATGTCATAGGGAAAAGGGAGATGGAGCAGAATAACCCTCTTACCTGGGACATAGGTAAGTTCTTCCTTCCTACATGGACATATATGTATATATCCATAAATGTATGTAAATATACAAAATTGAGTGTATAAATCACTAAAAATTTCAGGTTTTGTTCAATTTTATACCATTATTTAGTGCCGTTTGTAGAGAAAAGGAAGAGACTAGCACTCTCTGAATTTCCTATCAATGCGAAGAATATAGTTAAAATAAAAATCATAGGGAAAAAATATTAAATAATTTTAGATTTTTAAGAGTGATTCAAAGTTTGGAAAATTCAGGATCTGTATAGGAAATTACTAGGCTGACTGTGTATAGGAATAGATTAGACAACTCATCCTGGTTTTGCAAATTAGGAAAATTCATCAACCAAAACATTACTTCAAGTGTGCAGATTCCTATGCATTGAAACAGATAGGCTCTGAAATGTCTTCAAGTTAAAAACTCCCTACTCCCTTTGAAATTATTGTTCAGAGGATCTGCAGGCTTAGATTTTTCAGAGCAGATGTTTATCAATGTTTATCATGTTTATCAATGGAATGCTCAGTTTTGGTCCAATCTTTAGTTTCTACCCCAGCCTTCATTCTGACCTGAGTGTTCCAAATTAACTCTTCAGATTTCAAGATTTTCATTTTTTGTAATGAAACGTCTTCCACAAACAAAGTTTATCTAAAGGTGAGACAGTTTCCCAAGCGAAAAAAATATTTGGTGTGGGGGAAATAATGCAAATACCTATGACCAAAGACTCAGTGATATGCATTCAAACTGCAGATTGCCCTATTCTTATGACCTTTAATTTCTTTGTTTTTTCTTACTCCTATTATCATCTACCTAAACATCACCTAATTATGATAAATCTGAGGGGAAAATGACAATCACTTAAAAGTGCTTAATCTCAGAAAAGTGAGGATGCTGGGTCAGGAAGAGAAAATGAAGAAAGAAGAAAGTTCAAGAAATATGTGTTTCTAGTTTTTCAATAGGTTACTTTAAGATTTGTGGAGTCTTCTTCTAAGCTGATTGTTGACTTGTCTTTTTTGTAAACCAGGTCTGTGACCTGCTGCTGAACTTTTTATAGAGAGCAAACTTCTGACAGAAAAGACTGCAGCTCTAGGGGAGAATATACAAAGAAAGCCCACTGTGCAAAAATTGGTCAAATACCGCAAACAGAGAAACAAATCCAGATAATAATAATAATGCTAATAATGTCTCTCTGGTGGGAAGTAGCTCTGAAGGCACTTTGTCAGCTTATGTAGGCCACAAACAATAGCTGCTTTCAAAGCATTCAGTGCAGTCCAAATGATGATGGTGGGTTGCAGCCTTGCTCCCTGGGTAGGGCTGTTGGCCAGGCTCCCCATGCTCCCCTTTCCCTGAGGCAAGGCCACATTCAGAAAACTCTCCTCATATACCCTGGGGCTCCTGGCATTTATTACTATGAAAACATTAACCTTTGCCCATCAGTTTTGTCCTTTCTTGAGCAACAGCAGTAATAACCCAATGTCCCAACAACCTCACCAGAACCAATCCCAGTTTATCTGGAACAGAGACATTTCCCAGAAGTCCCATTTGTGTCTCAGTGCAGGGGGTTGTATCTGGGTTATCACAAACTGATCATCTTCCAGTGGGCTTCCCAGGCTGGAACTGCTCCTTAACAACTCCTAACCACCAACTTACCTCAGCCTGTGCCAATCAGGGACATTCCCAGGGCAGCTGTAGGTAGTGCATTTCCACACTGGATGGGCCAAAGCACTTAGTGGTGTGTGCTCTCAGACTTTCACCTTCTACATGGAAAAAGGGTTTTTCTATTGGGCTTACGGATAGGCATTTTTTTAGGGTTTTTCTTTCCTAAAGGTATGAGTTTGCATTTTTGCCTGGAAGGCTGTTCCACCACCTTCATGGATGGTCTCTAAAATATTTAGATGCTATAAATTTATAATAAAAATTATACTGCAATGACTACTGTAATGCTCCTACAGATATTAGTTCTAGAGCTAAGTTAAATAATTTATAGCTTTGGGGATCTGTTTGGATGTTTTGTTTGTTTGGGGTTTTTTAAGTGAAATGGTTTTAAAATGTTAAAGTATTAGATACTGGTTGAAAGAAAAGAGCTCAGAAAATTCCAGATATCTGTCATGAAGCTGTTGTTTTGCAAGGACCACTCCAGCACTGACAAAATTTCTGGTTAAGCTTATGTGTCACATATATGAGCAGAAAAATTTAGATTATGTAATTTTTTCAATCAGCACAAATTCTATTGCTCTCCACATGCAAACTACTTGCTGATGAAACATAAAGAATTAACTCTTGGTACTCTGGGTATCTTTTGCTATTCTGGTTATTATATGTAGCCAGCCTTTGTCATTTAAGAAAAATTCAAACAACCAGTTCACTACACCTCATAGCATCCACACTGGGGATATTTTGAGGAGAGAATCGCAGTTGTAATTTAGAGTATGAGTGAATAAGCAAAGTAAAATGAGGTCTGGAAATCATAATAAATCATAAGCAAATAATGCACACAGGAGAAATCTTGCTTGGAGTATAATTAAGGTAGTATTACTGTAAGACACTGAGGATATTCTCTTCTCCTAAAGGAAGACCTCAACTGAGAAATTTGTGCTGTTTTGGAGAGGTTTCTTACTGCAGGCAAAGCAGTAGAATATGATCCTTACTCTTATACTTACAGGTTTTAATTTTTTAACTTTTAATTTCTATATATTAATACCAGAACTGGAGACTCCAAGTTTCCATCAATGCATCCTACACAGAGTTTATTTCAGTCTTTGAGATGCTTTCCAATGGCAAACATTAAAAAATACCATACAAAAATTATAATTCCTCTAGTTTTTAATTAAAGGAAATGCATCTCTTCCTTGGAAATTCTATTTTTTATTTTTTACTGGAATGTCTCAGGTGATATCCACTTGAAAACAGTACGGCACCATGAGTGTGGATGGTGCAATGTATGGAACAGTTGAAATATAGGAATGTTTGTTTGTTTTGTCTGGTATGAAAAGAAGATTAATTTGCTTTTCATGTTTGCTGCTATTTTTGGGGGGTAGAGGCAGAAGGACAAAAAAGCTATTAGCTTTTACTTACTCCATTTAGTGCTTCCTCAGAAAGCTGTAGTACAGATTTCAAGACCGAGGTTTGTTAACACTTAAAGCAAACATTTTAGAGCTGCAGTACTGTTAACATAATACTTTGAACCTTGCTGTGCCATCAGATATGCACCATGGCTCAGATCTAGCAGCATTTGCTTCTGTGTATCCGTTTCTCCAGCTAATTTAAACAACTGTGGTGCTTAATTTGCATTTGAATTGGGGCAATGGGAGTGATAACATTGTTCCTATGAAAATACCCGGAACAGAAAATGGCATTTGCTTTGTTCCAACTGGACCTAATTGGAAGCCTTTATTTCACTTTTTATCCTTATTCACGCAGCATTCCTATGGCAAATAATTTAAAAACATGGTTACATTCACAAATTTAGCCACGTGGTTGCAGAGTGAGAAAGGTGAAGTGTCTGGGTCTATTACTGATGAACTGTCCTGACGTTAGGGCATTAGGACATAATGTTAAAAACTGATTCTCTTGCTCAGCTCTAGTATTCCTAGATTTAACTGATTACATTGTTTGAAAGATACACACCATGGGCTCTGCTTTTAGATGCTGGAAACCTTTATCTCAGCAAGTTCTCTTCTCTTGGGAAAGAGTTGTTCCATGTGCAGCATTTTGACTCTAATGTCTGACAAAAACCACAGCTCCTGAACACATAATTCCCTGTAGACAGTGGTACAGTTCTAGTCCTGCTTTTCCCTTTTGGCATTTTCAGGTCCCTCTCTGTTATATTTCACCTTGTTCCCCTCATTTGTTTTCATTGGTGAAAAAAAATGTCTCCCTGAGACATGGCATGATCTTCATCAACATGTAAAAATAAGATTAATTTTCTGTTAGCTGACATGGAGTAGAGGCTAGACTGTGTTTAGGTTCCTGGCTGATCCTAACACTGCAATTCCATTGGCTTCCATTTCTAATTGGCATCAGATTTAAGCATGGGCTCTTTATTTGCTGATTGCTGTTTTGTATTAACATATGCTGAGCTATATATTATACCCTTTAAAGATCTTATTAAACATGATACAATGATTTTTCTACCTGTCTGTAGAGGAAACAGATAATATTGAAAATATTTCCTGTTGCTAAAGGCATTCATTCTGTGAGAACCATGTGAGCTGTGGAAGCCCAGCTGTTTTGAGTGCAACAAGGAGATTACAAGAGGGCCAAAAGTCAGGATGCTGGCTCCCTCAGATAATCAAAACTGTCAGGTATAACCTGGGTCGCTGTCTCAAAAAAAATTCCATCCTGTCCACCAGAAATTTAGCTGAGACCTTTTATTATTCCTACAGTAACACAACATTCTGGCTATGGAGGGGCTGTTATCATTGCAAAATATAGTAAAAAAATAACCTGTGGTTTTTATAGTTAATAAAAGGGGTTTTTTTTGAGTAAGCTTTAGCATCAGGCCTGTAAAGGGCATTGTTCTTCAGCTATTTAAATTTTTATTTCAGTTGAATACCTCAATTTTCATCTCAGGTTTTTACTCATTTTCTATTAGTTTTTTAATGTACAGCAGTCTTCAAACCAAGAACTCAATTGTGACTGGACCACATACTCTGCAAAATAAAACTTCCCACACACACTTTGTTTATCACACTTTTGCAATCAGAGCCTTTAAAAGGACTTGGATGCTGACTCCCAGTGAACACTCACAACCAGCTGTCAGTGGCAAGGTACAGAAAAAGGTGCCCAGCACCTGAGTGGTGCCGGTAGGAAATGCTGAAAATAAAACTGTGTCTTTCATTCAGGTGTTATATGTCCCATGTTGGACTGAAGTGAACAGCCTGAATTCAAAAAACTACCTTCCCCACTGAGTTCTTCAGTAAATTTAGGTGCAGGGACAAGGTGACTCAAAGATCAGGTGACCTCATGATAGGAGAGAATCTCCAAGTATCTCA